TTTCAAAAACTCCTTTTTGAAAATTCGAAGGAAAAAGGACCCCACGCGTTTGCGGCAACGAGCAAGGCTCTGATACCACGTGAAAGTTCGAAACTTTAGCACCATCATTGTCGCACAATGATATGCCTACATAAGGGAAAAATAAAAAAATTTCTGAAAGCGGAATGCATAGACAATCTATGCCCTCATGTGATTTAGAAAGAAAACGCTCATTGAAACACGAGAGGATTTAGAATTACCTTATTCCGATCTCTTGTAGGCTTCAAAAGGATTATGCCCTCTAATGATAGTCCACACAGCTATCTCCAATGTTGCAGCAGAGAACTCTTCTCCTTGATCCTCCTTTGCCCTTAATTGCTTGCTAGGCAAATGAAGGCTAGAGGATTTACAAGTGTTTGATTAATTTTCTCAAGACTGTGATTGTTGTCTTGAGATTAGGTGTGGGGCGAAAAATGGAGAAGAGTAGGTGATGATCTGTTTTCAAAAAAACACAGAGGAGCTTTTCATGTAGAGAGGGGCGAATTTTTCAGTCTCTTGTAGACTTTGAAAAGATGTTTTTTTCTTATATCTTCACAAGTGATCTTTAAAGATTCTTAATTAAAAAAAATCAGAATATTAAATTTAAAAACAAATCTTCAAAGATATTGAAAGATTGAGTAGTTTGAGAGAATATCTCTTCCACCAATTTTGCTAAAATTTGAAATCAACATCTCTCCAGAGGCTCCAAAATTTCGAAAAATTCCAAGAGCTGAAAATATGAAATTCAAGTGTTGAAATTTTGAATTAGATTCTAGAAGAACCATCTTCAAAATTTCGAAATTCATCACCATGATCTTCTCCATTTTGTAGCTCCAACAGTATTGTTTAAATTCTAAATTCAAACAAAACTGTTCAGAAAATCTATATCCAATCTCCATTAGATATCAATCAACAACCCAATCTCATGAGTTCAAATTTCAAATTCAAATTTTAAACTTTTCAAACTTTAAATTCAAAATTTAAACTTCATTGTTATCCTAGTTCGTAATTCAAATTTTGAATTCAAATTTGAAATTCAAAATTTCAAAATTCAAAATTCAAAATTTAAATTTCGAATTTCGTAATTTAAATTTGAATTCGAATTTCAAAATTCAAAATTTAAAAATTCAAATTTCGAATTTGTCCAAAACTTATTTTGGTCAAATCAACTTTTGACTTTCTAGGATCCATGGCCCAAAGACCCTGTTGGGCCTAACTAAACATTTGATCCCATTAGCAAGAAACAATTTCGCTCTAAAGGGCCAAATGTGGCGCATGTGTTTGATTGGGCTTGGAATCCAATTCCAACCCAATTCAAGTCATAGTCTTGATAAAACCCAATAACTTATTATTGGCCCAAACCTGCTTGCAACAAGGAATAACCTTTGTGTGTGACCCATTAGGCCCAATTAGTCACTGACATAAATGAACTTGGACCAATTAAACTCTTTTAACAGGCCCAATTTATTTAATGACCACATAAGACACTAGCAATGCTCTGCGGCCCCAGAACTAACTGAGTTGACCAAGTGATCTACCTTTCTAATTTGGATACCGTGTCGGAATCATCCCTCATATCGTCATTCACATTTAGTCGAGAGCAAGGAAATAGTATCATCTCTCTTGTTGACTAAATATAGCTTTTCACAGAACTAGGAATCTTTTTCTATTGACTCTAAGATTGATCATGACTCCTCATGATCACTTACTATGCATAGATTCCCGAGTCAATTAGAAGTCATCCAAGTTCCACCGGTCTTGTGAACGAATAATCCCTTATAGGGGACTATGAGTCCTCTCGGCATGTCCATCTAGACTCATGTATTCAAGTTATACCCAAGAGTACACTGTTCTCCCCATGTTTCAGGCGGATAGAGTTGTACAGTCAAAGTATAACCCTAGGACATAGTGTTCGATGACATCCTTAAGTCTAGGACGATCCGCACTACCAAACGATGAGAGACTAAACAAATCCAATGATACTTAGTGAAATCCTTGCGGAGTCTCTCTGCGGGTCAGTTCAGTGCTATCTGTTCCTGAACAGATCCACCTACGACATCAGCTAAGGTATCACCATACCTGCATACCATGAGGTCCCTACCTTGTATCTCCATACAAGTAGAAGATGTCGTACTAGTCTTATTGAGATCACCAATGCCCTCTCTTGGTGATTCAAGACTAGGAACATACTTTAGGCAATAGACATATGCTGTCCTCGAGTCCTCATGATCATGATCCCTATCATAGATCCTCACATGAACACCTGTTCTATTTTTGGGGCTTTTATCTTTAATCGGATATTAACCTAATATTAAGGCGAGACAAAATATGAAAAAGATAAAATGTGCTCATATATTAAATAAATCATGAAATATAAGTAGTAAAAGGTGTTCATCTGATGTAACAGATTGTCTCTAGGACACCTATATACTAACAATTGTAACTGTGCTTAATATCATATGTGATGATAACATACCAAATGCATACGAGTTGTTACAAGAGAAGACTTTAATGTTATTAAATTTGAAATGTGATTGATTCCGTCACTTAATTGATTGAACTAAATTTATATTAAATCATATAATAATACGAGTAAATTTTTAAATAACAAAATTATATATTTATTCACTATAAATATAAATAAATGAATTTGAACCTTAAAATATAATTTTTTTAATCTGAACCTTATAATATAATGTTGATTATATAAAAAAAATTATTTTACATAACTATTAATATGTTATTTCTCTTTTTATTTTTAAAGCTTATTAATATCATTAGTGCATAATAAATTATATAAGTTGCATATTATATGTAACTTATAACATATTTCTTATTCATAATTTATAACATATTATAAGTCACAATGAAACCGATAACTCCCACTCGCTTAATACTAGTCTGGAATTCTCCTAAGACCCAAAGAAGTAACATGCCTCTTGAACACAAGTTCAGGCAAACTCTTAGTAACCGGGTCTACAAGATCTACCTCTACTCCTATCCTAGTTGAGTAAAACTCATAGCTGAAGTTGCTTTTCTTGATTCAATATCCACTTAAAATAACTGAATTTGTGAAAACTCAGTTTTTCAAGACTACCACTAGAATATACCAGCATATAATCTCTCGTTCTCCAAAGATAGAGCTTCATATCTCATTGCTAAAAAAGAAAACTCTATTATCGTTTACTGATGCTTTTGTATTTCAAAAATAAATAAATTTACAGAGCCAATATATACCAAAGATGTTATTTGCACAATAATTATGAAACATATTCTGGATGAACATTAATAGGTATTCTGCATGTTTTTCTGTGTGTCCTCTATTTGGAGTTTTCCATATATATATATATATATATATATCATATGTCTTACGGTTAAGATGAACGTGGGTAGTTATGGATAACCCAGTATGGGATCGTGGTAGGGCTTAGGGAGGCCACTAACGTGTGGGCCTTATACCCAGCTAAACGACTTGCCTTAAGTAAGACACGTGACCGGTATAGCTTACTCGGATATAAGCTCTTTTTGGGCTTGGGGGAGCCCAAACTACGAACCTGAAACAAAACAAATTTTAGGATTTTCAAAAAATCGAAAACCGATCCAATCCAAACCGATAAAAATTGGATTGGATTGGAACGGATTTGAAAAAAATCCAAACCGAATTGATGATTACATGATCAAACCGAAGGGATTGGATCAGATGATTTTTGCTTCCAAAACTGATCCAATCCAGACCGCGAACACCTCTAACTTTGCCGGTACACATTTATATCGTGAAGCAGAACCAGTATCTGCACTTTTCATCAGAATCGCGATTTAAACATTATTTGTCTTTCTCAATAATTATTTTAATCTTTCTATATTTATCCAAGGTCAATTATGAAATCATTTCTTAATTTTATAATTAAATTATTTAAATTCCTAATTTAACGGTGCAGGTTCTTACATGGACCATCTTTATTATTACCTTGATGTCAAGCACAGTATTTATTTATTTTTCTATACATGATTATCTTAATTTGATTGACCATTATGATATATTACACGTACAAAAAGCTAGAATTAGATACTTCATAGTATTGATTTAAATAAAATGCATCAAGGAGTATTAGAGTATAAAGTAGAATAGCTTTCGATAGACTCACTCTATAGGATTATTTCTCATATAATCTGTTGTAGTTAGTTAGACTGTTATGCTGTTGCTGACTCAACCTTAAGCTTTTTAAATAGATTGTTCATCTCTCACACTTGTAACTAATCTATTATAGACATCATTTAATATTAAGTTGATGAAAGAAATAAATTGTTGTTTGGCCATCACCTTAGAGTCATTAATGTAACATACTTAGAATCTATTATAGACATCATTTAATATTAAGTTGCAAATCATTTATCTATTTTATCTTTTAATTAAGTCTTTAATAATTACTCTCTTCTATTTTATCATAGTCGTATTAATAATACCTGCTTTATTACTTGAATATGCAAAACATAAATATTTTTTTTTAAAGTATTAGCATCATTGTTTAATTTGAGAGTAAAAAAAAGTATTATAATTGTTATTTATACTTTAAGTGATGTAATTGAATGTTTTTGTTTTGTGAAATTTTATTGATAAAATTTATTTAAAATTTGCATTAATTTTTATGATACAAATAAATCATATATATTTTCTTTCGTGCAACACATACATTAATTCAAGGGTTAAAGTTTTGTTATCTGATAGCAAGTAAAAGAATTTTGGTTTATCAAAAAAAAAAAAAAATTGCAGCACACACAAAATATATCACATCACTTTATTTCCTTTTTTCTTTTTTCTTTTTCTTAATTAATTAGAGACTTCATCATTGATTGTGTGTGCTGTAAAAAAAGTCTTACTTTGCATCAACGTAATGAAACTTAAACCCTTAGTTTAATATTAAGAAAGTAAAAAAAAAAAAAAAGAGAGAAAAAATAAAATAAAAGAATCAGGTGCAGTTGGGAGAGACTGTCCAACTGGTAAAAGGGATTCCTAATAAAGACAGGTATGAGACTTAAAATTGAAAACCAGAGTGTGGAAGACAACAACGTAAGATGATGGCATCTTCCTCAGGAAATCGAAACCCAGAACTGAGGAAAGACGCTGTTTCGAACCGGTGGGTGATTTTCTCACCCGCAAGAGCCAAAAGACCCTCCGATTTCAAATCCAAATCACCTTCCGACCCGAACCCGAACAACCAACAACAACACTGCCCCTTCTGCATCGGCCACGAGCACGAGTGCGCGCCCGAGATCTTTCGGGTCCCGTCCAACAACCCGGATTGGAAGATCAGGGTCATCCAGAACCTCTACCCCGCTCTCTCCCGCAACCTCACTGAACCGGGCGACGCCAGTTCCGGTTCGGTTTTAAATGGGTTCGGGTTCCACGACGTGGTGATCGAAACCCCGGTTCACTCGGTTCAGCTCTCCGATTTGTCTCCTGAAGAAATTGGCCAGGTTTTTGTTGCTCATACCAAGAGAATCGAACAAGTCGCGACCCATGACTCAATCAAATACGTGCAGGTTCGTTCTCTTGTGTGAACTCTCGCCTTTGAATTTTCACAATCTTCTTGCACCTTTTTCATGTAACTATATAATTTAAGAGGTTTTATTAAAATTAAAATCACTCTTACACCATTCCATAATTTTATTAATTAATTTAATCACAAAAATAATAATATAAATTCGGGTACGTTACAATTTTTTCCCCTAACAATCATTAATAAATTCTGTTAATTTAATTTGTAATTAATTTGATTTTGATTTAATAATAAACATAATGATTATAAGAGTTTGTAAAGAAAAGTAAAGTTCTAAGTATAATTAACTCAAAATTTCATTAATTTAAAATTATTTAATATATATCAAAATTAACTTAATATATATTTTTGAAACGTGTGAGAATAGAACTATTGGATTATATTTTTATCGTTATTTAATTTTTATTAAGATTTGACACCAATAATAAAGATGATAAATATTTACATTAAACTATTTAATTAATGAAAATCATTTTTTATTTTTATATAAAATTATTGAATGGTGTAAATGCATTAATTCTTATAGTAGTGTAAATTATTCCTTCGCATGTAAAAATCTTTTGTGTGAACTCGTGGCTTTGAAATTTCGGAATCTTCTTGCACCTGCTTCATGTTACATGTTCCAATAAGGAATGAAGTTTGATATATATAAGAGAGAATGATGTAAAGAAAGGAAGAGATTGACATCACTAGTAAAATTATGAAACTTAATTTAGATAAATTAGTAAAACATGTCTTAATAAGTGCGAAATAGATTGACGTGGAAGAAAAGCTATTAGTATTTATGAGGGATATAATTTTATTTTTTTTATTTGCTTATCTAAAGTGGATGTATGTGGGATATAATATTTTTTTTTTATTTTTTATTTGTTTATCTATAGTGGATGGACATGGAGCGGTGATAAAATTGCTCCTTTGAGATGAAGAATTCATGACTATAGTTTCTTTATAAATATGTAAGGGGTAAGGTTACATATGAGAATTATCCTCACCCCTACCCTCGCTAGTTGGGATTCAATGAGAAGTGATTTTATTTATTTGTTTGTTTATCTATTTATTGTTTTATTATATATATGCTTATATTATTTTTCTTTAATCTATTCTTACTCTTATATGGGTTTATATACTCATTCCAATTAGTTTGGGATGAAAGCAATATTAATGAGGATGTTTCTTGCACCTGTTTCATGTAAATGTATTTTTCACGTATAAACTTGATTTTATTAATGTGTGAAGGTGTTCAAAAACCATGGTGCTTCAGCTGGTGCATCAATGAGTCATTCTCACAGTCAGATGCTGGCACTGCCAATTATTCCACCTAATGTTTCAGCCCGTGTTGGAAGCATGAAGGATTATTTTGATCAAACAGGGAAATGTTGTATTTGTGAAATTCAATCGGAGGATCTTTTGATTGATTCATCGACCAACTTCTTTTCACTGGTTCCTTTTGCTGCTACATTTCCTTTTGAGATTTGGATTGTTCCCCGGTATCACTCTGCTCATTTCCATGAATTGGATGCTGAAAAGGTAACACTTGTTATTAATACTTAGGTTATGAGGCATGGACTGAAGGATTAATTTTAGTTGTTTTATGAGACCTGGTGCTAGTTTTATGATTTCTGCAGCCCTTATGTGACAGAAATATATTGAACAAGTATATAATTTTAGTTGTTTCCATCACCTTTATGGTATTTTAGAATATAATTGCATTATATATGGTACTTGAATCCTATCAGATTGGATATGGAGAGCGCTTAGAAATTATTATAGGACTTGGGGATGCCAAGTTCTAATGGGGAAGCTGTTAGGTGTTATAGAATAAAACTGAGTAGCAAATGCTTTTCATGTCTGCTTCAAGTTTGGTAAACCTGAATAGTGTTTGTCTAAATATTCTCTATACGATAGTTGTTAATAGCGAATAGCATTATAGCAATAGGGGCTCTTCCCGCTATAGCACATAGCTTAGCTCAAACTAAGCGCACATTATATTAGATATATTTAATATAGTTCAAAAATGATATTTAAAACCACTAATGTTTATGAAAACCTTAAATTCAAATTGCAACTCATACAACTTCACAGTCATCCAAATTTTTAAGTTAACCATAAAATACATCAAAGACTTAAATCTTAAATTATGCCCTTGTCAAAAATTTGAAAGAGTTAAGCAGTCTAGGCATTATCATAAATATGTCCATGTTAGGGGGATAGGCATGGTGACAGAAGCTGAGGCTAAGAAGCATGGGGTGATTGGACAGTGAAATACAAAATACAAAAACTGAAAAATAGAACTAAAAAGAAAACATCAATAACAACAAAAAACTGTTCGCTGTGAAGACCTGTGTGTTTCTGAGTTTGGGAAAAAAGAAAAATAGGGGAAGAAGTGAAAAGGTTCAACTGAGGCAAGATTGATTACCTGAACAGAGCTGCTGGAAAACTGAGCTCTGAAGAAGACACAAGCAATGCTGCAGCGGTTGAACTCAGAATTTGGCATTTATCTGTAAGAGGATGTTGATATCCTTGTAAGAGATGGATGGTGACCTATAAGAAATGATTTAGTGCCCAACAGACCTTGGAAATTTGAGAATTTATTATAATAGCGTAGATTGTGCATCCTTAAAATAGCACAAATATAATACCAAAAATAAAAAATAGCACAAATAGCTTCCGCCATTGCTACACCTTGTCGATTTTGCAATGCTATGTGTACTTGAGTATGTTCAACCTAAGATGGGAAGATTGGTGGTTTGCGGTAAGGACCGAGATAGAGGCACTGGTATGACTAGGTCTCACATGAGTTGGCCTGGGTGCTTAATGGGAGAAGTCCATCATAGGCTAAGAGGAGCAAAGTGGAAGTGTGTTTAGAGGTTCCCACGCGTGAGTGTAGAGGAGAGATGCATGCAAGAGGGGAGGCCAAAAGCCCCCTTTTCGTGTGTGAGCCTGTGTCATATAGTTAGTTGGGGAATATTCCAGAGGGGTGTGCACACTAGGTGTGTGGGAGACATAATCCTCATGATGGGGATACGATTGTGTGAGGGAATCAGTCTAATGATGAGGGAAAAGGATGTTTCGTTCTATAGTGGGATGGTGGATTGGTCACACGGTGATCCCAAGGCACCTATCCACATCACTATGGTTTTGGCATAGCACAGATCCTCAATTTATTGTTGTAGCATAGTCAATTGCACACTATTATGTATATGTGCTAATTTCTCCTTTTTGTGGTTTGAGTCCAAAGGTTGATTATTATTTCTTGTCATTTATTTTGCAGGCAGTTGATCTTGGAGGTTTGTTGAAACTAATGCTTAGGAAGATGTCTTTGCAGTTGAACAATCCACCATTCAACTTTATGATTCACACTTGTCCACTGCATGGTAATGAGTCAGAGTTAGCATACACTCATTGGTTTATACAGATAGTACCTCAGCTAATTGGGATAGCGGGTTTCGAGATTGGAACTGGGTGTTACATAAATCCTGTTTTCCCCGAGGATGCTGCAAAGGTTCTAAGAGAAGTAAATGTTCCAGAGTAAGGATAAAGCAGGTAGAAACATATAGGTAACTTAATCTCAAACGTGTAAGCTAATAAAAAAAATTATTCAAAGGTATGAAGGTCAAGTTTTTTTGTTACAGGTTGTATACTTTGAGGCTCCTAGTGAGGGAGTTTACTTTATTATTAGTCCGAAAACCTTGAGGTATTGAAAATTTGAAATGAACTATTCATAGTGTATAAGTAGATTTATTGAGAAAACAATTATGCTGAAAGGGGAAAGGCAATTGCACTCTGGATAATTTTCTTCAGGTGCATTTGAGGGAATAATTCCCCTTGCTTCTGGCCCAAGGTTTGAAACCAAGTAATCAAGATGGATAACACACCTCCTTATATATTTATGCTTTTAGTTATAATTTGAGTATCTTGATTGAAATATGAAGGATCAGTTTGACATGTAATATTGTCCCGTATCCTGATCGTGATTCTTGTTGCTCTTTTTATTTCTAGTATTTACATTGATTCTGGAAGATATTGGTTTGGAGTCTTATCAACAAGAAAGATGGAGCTAGTGCTGTTGACTTTGTTATCCTTTTTTGCTCCACATTTAGTCACGTGCCTCCGAGATTAGATAATGGTGAGAAAAATATAGTGAAACTAGTATAGGGAAGTTGAATTTTTAGACGAGTATGTTTGATTGAATTCATGTATTGTTCAGTTCTTACTTTGTGTTCTCAGTCTTATCCTTAAAAATAATGGGAAAAATGTTTCTGCAGTTAATGCAGATAAGTTATCTACATTTATTCCCAAAACGACGTCGTTTTGATATTGAAATCTTAAAAAATTATAAATATAAAGACTATTATAACCCTGAAATAAATTAAAATTACAAAAACATCATGATTTCCGCCCCAAAACGACGTCGTATTGGGTTTACTGCAAATAACTTATCTGCAGTAACTGCAGAAAAAGCGAACCCAAAAATAATTTATTCTCTATTCTTTTTCTCTTTCTTTTGTTTTTGGGTTTTTTTTTCCCATTCATTCTGTAGTTTTTGTAAGGGAAAAAATGAAACAAAGTCAAACCATTATTGGCTAGGCAGAGTGAGAAAATTTATATGGGGGCCAAGATATGGCAATTCCACACAATAGGCCAATGACTAGTCACTCTCTCAAGGGCTTTATGAAACGGGGAAGAATGACCAAAATGTTTTACTTATGAAGATGGTTTTTTTAACTAAATAATAACATGATTTATCCTAATACAAGCATAATTATACCATTCAATATGTTTTTTCTATATTTGTTCATACATGGTTAAGTATCAAATTAACTCAACTACTAATTTACTTTTGTTAATCAATAAAATGATGAATTAGAGATTAAGAAAATGAATAGACTATTGGTTAAGTACATGTAATTTATTACTTAAAGGTTACTTGATTAATTTATATATGAACTATAATATAATTACAAAAGCTAAATGAGCTACCCCTTTGTGTTATTTTTCCAAAATTCACTTGTCAACCTAAAACTCTGTTTAAGTTCAAGCTTCGGCTTAAATTTCGGCCCAGTTTTTAAAGCTGGTTTAGATTCAAATGACCAATTTGGGTTTGATTCAGATTCAATTTATTTCACAAATAAGCCCAGTTAAACCGATTTCATTTACACAAAGCAACATAAAACTAATCGCCTGAAGAACCAATTTTAATATGGGTTATGAGCATGATTGAACCTTAATCGAATTAATTGGATACTTGATAAATAAGTGGAGAAATTAAAAAAAAAAAAAAGTATACTTGATTTTACATTTATACAAAATATATGGCTTCGGCTAATTTATTTGTAATTGATGTGACTTGAATGAAGCCGAATTTTCATCTAGATGACTCATTTTGCATAATACAACTGTAACATTACACTTAGTGTATTACCTCATTTATGACATTAAGTGCAACTCATTTTGTTATTAAACACTTAGTTAATCCTTAAGCAAGATGCTTACCTTAGATAACTCAAACAATTGCCAACATTGGTGAAAATGTGTATAAACTTTTTTCCTTTCACATGAGCATGTTGGTTCATCACTTTTTTTGACCTTAAACCATGGTCCATGACTAATCACTTGAAAGTTTTTGAATAACTTGTGAAAAAGACCTTTGATACATTTCGTAACCTCAAAACAATTTTATCAAGTCAAGGAATTGCACTAAAAGTGATTCAAGACAAAATTGAAATGCTTTGCAACTCAAAAGCGACAATACTTAAGTTATGTCAAGAAAGTATTTGAATACTTTATTGACTAGTATTCGAATACTTGTGCTGCGAACAAAATATTCGAATACCTTATGAAAAGTATTCGGATACTTGATGAAGTATTCGAATATTTAGCGAAAAGTATTTGAATCCTTATTGGACAGTAAGCATTCTAACGGCTATAAAAGCAAGTTTCGTACCAACACTTATATAAACTCATTTATTGCGATTCAGAAACATAAGAATCATTGTTCATTGATTTTACAATAATTCTTGATTATTCTCATTGAATCAAACACATTTATTACTTGTTCTTACTCATATTGATCATAAAACTCCTTTGAACTTCATTCTTCTGTCATTGATTAATACCCATAAGCTTCAACTTGTATAATCTATACTTTAAGAGTACAAATCTATCTCTAAACACTCTCCTCCTGTTTATTTGAGTTGAGGTTAGTGAGACCCTGGTGAAAAGGTTGCTCATAGCCTAAGAAAGTGAATGGAAGTGTAAAGATTTCAAGAATCGAAAATATTGAAGGTTGTAGTGGTTTGTCAAGCACCCTTGAAGCTTGACCATTAGTGGAAAGTTGATAGAGCGGCTTCAATCTGGACGTAGGTCACGGTGGTGATAACCGAACCAAGATATATCTTGTTTGCAATCTCTCTAACTCCTTATCTCTTTACATAAGCGTTGTTAGAATACTTGAGCATATTTAAATTCATATTTTGCATATTATTCGCTTGTGTTAATTTCCATTCTTTAGACTTTACTTGTGTCAAATCATATATACTCAAGAAATTCGTTTTCAAGAAAGAGAGTAAGACATTTTGCGAAAATATTTTTAAAACTCAATTCACCCCCCCCCCTCGCGCACTCTTGAGTTTGAGGACACTTGTCCAACAATTAGTCTATAAACTAATCATACAATCTAGCCTCTAGTGCTTGTTCATTGGCCTTTATACCAATGCCTAATAATTCTATATGAATGCAATTATATCATAGTTCTAACAATAACCAATCATTCATCCAATTGACCAACACTCCCCAAGGGGTGTGGTGGAACACCAAGTGGGACTAATCTCAAGGTTCAAAAATTTACATTTGTGGATTAAGTTTCCAAACATTTATCCTCTTAGTTCCACAAGTCACACTTTTACAACCTAATTTGATGTGTGAACTCATTTAATACCAATACCCTTCAAGAGCATAAGATTAGGAGACTTACCCTAATTTTACAACCTAATTTGATGTGTGAACTCATTTAATACCAATACCCTTCAAGAGCATAAGATTAGGAGACTTACCCTAAATTCTTGAATTTCCAAGAGCCAAACCTTAACCTAATAATGGGTCCAAGGTTTGTTCCTTCATTGAATCACTTCTAATCTCAACACTCCTACATCAAACATATATAAATCAACCATCAATTTCATCATTCAATCCACAAATCAAAAAACCACCAATTTACAAACCCTAGATTTACAAATCCTCAAGGAAACTGAAAAAGGACCATGAATCCTTACCTTTATCACTCTAGAACTTGTAAGAAGTGAAGCTCCAAGCATCAATAGAGGAAAACCTCGTTTCTCCGTCCTTTACAAATGGCACCTCCAAGAAGGGTCCGAGAGAAAGATGGATTTCTCCATTTTCCAAGCTTCTAGGTTGTGCAAATGTAAGTGGGCTTTAGTCTCCAAGGAAGATTTTGGGGGAAGGATGAAGAGGGGTAGCCATTGGAGCTTGCTTCATCCAACAAAATGCTTCAAAAAGAGGAAAAAAGAAAGCTCATCTTTGAAGGATATAATAACCTAAACAACTCAATTAAATAATTAGGAATTATTTTATGGTTTTCCTTTACTTTAACTTTTGATAAGAATGAGTTATCCTTTAATTTAACTTTTGATAAGAATGACTGATCACTAGAGTGTAAAAAGGAGAAAAGAAAAGAAAAAGAAGATAACAATGAGTTATCCTTTACTTTAGCTTTTGATCACAGTTGCTTTCTGCAGTCAATTCTGAAAAAATGTATCAGGACAAAACGTACATAACAAAATCAGGCAAGGACATATGTTGTCGAGCCGACCAGCACGTACAAAGGACAGATACGCGGACAAACATGTTGAACACCTACAGATGTCAGAAGATCGTCCTTGAAAAGGCAACAACACAAGACAACTCAGACCTAATCTCTACCCAATCAATTGCATCTGCCTGATCAAGAAAAGAGGGAAAGCCCTCAATCTTATGGTGCAAGGAATAATCAGAACTAATCACAAGAATGCCATTGCCTCTCTAGCCTATAAATAGAAGATCAAACAAGACAAAGGCATTGTTCACTTGATCGATCAACTTTTACTTTTATTTCTAGATCAAGTTTCAAGGGATTACTCTCTACTCTTTTCTTTACTTCCCATTTATATGAAATCAGCCACCCTTTACATTTTGGTTTTTAGTATTCCATGGAGTCTTATTTTTGCATTTTGAGTCTGTAACTTCTCTTCTACCTATTGGTTTTTAGTATTCACTAATTAATTCTCGAAAAATCTATTTCTGATCCAATTGCTCTGAATTTTTAATCTGTTATAATAGATATGTGTATCTTTAATTTTTAACAAACCACACTCAATTTGAAGTCCTACAATTCCATATATGAATTTTACAAAACAATGGCCAGAATTGATTTCTACCAAGTTAATGAATTTTTTCAACTTTCAATGATTCAAACTTGATCAATTCAACTCCATGAACACCGAAGACCATGAATACATACTAAAACCAATCATAAACACATGATATCACCATAATAATATTCAACCATATTCAACCAAAACCCTACAATTCATAATTTGAAAACTAACCATTTAAACTTGAATTTCTTGACACCAATGCACTCCAATGAACTAGAGATGATTCTTCAACCTTTAAATCAAGAAAGAACTCATCTTTAGACCCATGAACAGTACCTAGGTTGTGACTTTCAAGAGAAGAAATCCAAGGATTGAAGGCTTCTTTGGAGAAACAAAGCTTAGGGATTTGTTCTTTAAGCTTCAATAATCATTTTTTTGAAATAGATGAAATGAGCTCTCTAAGTTCTTCTATGGTGGCTGGACATGGAGAAGAAAGGAAGTGTAGAAAATTTTATGGTTATGAGAAAGAAATAAGAAGAAAACACTTACAAGCTAAACTAACCACTTTTGTTGACTTTCTTTAAGTTTTTAACCAATTGTATTTGATAACTTGCTAACCGCTTCTCTTCCTTCTTCTTAGGTCATTGAAGGAACCAAAATGGAGAGGGATGATTGACTTGCTTCATGAAAATATCATAGTAACTTAGTAATTAAGCTTAGTTTGTTAACTAACCATTACTTTGACCTATAAGAAATTTCATTGGTTGTTTTTATTATAACTTTGACCTAATTTTAATAATTAATCTAATCATAATTAGACTAATTTAAGGTCACTTTAAACCCATATAATTTTCCATATAATTTAACTTGACTGACAGAATTCAGTTCAGACCTAATTTCATCAAATTACCAAAATAACCTTGTTTTACCGAATTCGCATCTATGTCTCTCAACATAACTCATACTTCTATTTAGGTCTTAATTGACTTGTTTGGCATGAATTGTATCCTTATATTCATAATCATGATAATTTCATGATTTAACTGTCAGAATTCTCACTGAACCAACAATTAACTCTTAAACATGTACTTAATTCCTTATTTAGCAAATCTTAGTAGTAAGGGTTGTTATAAAAAGTCTTCTTCCATAAACTCTAAGAAAGATCCATGAACTATTTCATTATCTCTTTCTATGCACAGATTCTTTTGACTTGTTCATCGACACTCATGCTCTCCGATCACACCCGCAAATACACTATGCTCCTAATCTTTTAAGAGGATATAGGTGTGCCCCAAATTATGACATTCAGACACAGTATACGATGACAACCTCAAGTTTGATGATGATCCACACAATATAGCGAAGAGAGATGTTACTGATCCAATGATACTTCTATAAGTATCCTTGTCGAGTCTCACAACGAGTCAGTTCGGTATGCCTCAGTCTAATACGAACCCACCATGACATAGGTTAAGGCATCTCCATGCCTACACTCACGAGTTATATACCTTACATCTCCATGTAAGTAACCTACTCTTATACTAATCTGATCGAGATGACAAACGCCCTTCATTGGTGACTCTAGAATACAAACAATTTTAGAGCATAGTCATGAAATGAGCTTGAGTCCTCATAATCACGAGCTCATCATAGATCCTCAAGGCACACTTGTATTATCCCAAGGGATTATCTGTTAACGCATATCATGAAAAGATATAGTCAATATAAAATAGATAAAGCATACTTATGTAAATAATAATCATAAATGCTCTGTAGTATAATCAATGTCATCTGACTCTCAGGACAAATGATACCTTACAGAGATGATGAATCATTTTTGGCTTGTCCATTTATATTGATCTGGCTTGTCCATTTATATTGATACCCTCTACTCATACGCAAAAGTACATTGTTCTCCCCATATTTTTGGTGAATAAAGTTATATAATTAAAATATGACCCTTAGACATAGTATTTGGTGACAACCACAAGTCTAAGAATGATTTGCACTACAAATAAAGAGAGACTATATCCAAAGACACGTGTTATAAGGATTCTTTTATGAGTCTCTTGGTGGATTAGTTCAACGTGACTCTTAACAATAACAAATCCATCCACCCAAATCCTTCGTGGTGAAATTTTCTAATTATCAAGTCTTTGTGGATTGTAGCAAGAGAATGTGATTCCCTATAAGCAATATGATGTATATATATGGCACTAGAAAAAATAATAACTTTTCCACTAATATTCTTTTATACACATGGTTCCTCCTCGTTTTTTGACAAGGTTATTAATCGTAATATCTCATCAAAATGTAGGTTCGAGCTTTATGATACTTGCTTTAGAGGATGTTTGGATTAACTTTTAAAAAAAGTTACTTTTATGTCCTGCTTATTTTAAAAGTGCTTCTTATAAAAGTTTAAACTATTTAGATTTTTAGAAAATATAATTTTTTTTTGAAAAATAAATTGGCTTTTGACTTTTGCTTTTTTGAGAAGTTAAAATTTTTAGCTCCTGAAAAAAGCAGGTTTTTGACTTTTTTTATGACTTATGTTTTTTTTAAAAGCAGTCATCCAAACGCACCTTACAAAAAAAGTGCTTTTTTTTGAAAAAAGAAGAAGTAACTTTTAACTGAAAAAAACTCATCCAAACATACTCTTAACCCATATATTTAACTTTTGAAGCTTAAGTACCATATGCTAGTGGGCTACAAATTCAAAACCTTCAATTGTGGCATATAGAATTCAAAATAAATTCGAAACTACTAAAATTAAATTAAACCAATTTGGATAAAAATAAATAAATTTCCCCAAAATCAAAGTAACACAAATGCTTCAGAGAAGAAATTGTATATTTACGAACCCAAAAAAAAAATTGTACTGTATCAAAATATTGTACATTTACTAAAAAGGCCTCGGTTGTTTGTAAATTAAATAGTTATTTACCATTTTTAACCGTACCAATACTATTCTTTTTTGTTTTTTCTCTCTCACTCTTTCTCATTTCCTCCAAGTTGTTTTTCTCTAGAAATTTTCCTACGCTCACTTTGTTGCATTATATATTTTGTTTTGCCGTGACAGTGAAAGTGCAGCATAAAAGTTTTCAAAGCTGAAGGTAGAAGTTGCCATTTCGTGGGTTTTAGGGTTAGGGTTTTTTCTGCATCCAAACAAAAGGTTAGGGTTTTTTCTCTAATTGCAACGAAATGGGGTTCAACATTCAACCCTATGGGATGCAATCCATGCTGAAGGAAGGTCACAAGCATCTTTCTGGTCTTGACGAAGCAGTTCTCAAGAATATTGATGCCTGCAAGCAGCTTTCCACTATCACTCGAACTTCTCTTGGTCCTAATGGTGATAATAACATAAACCCTTCTTATTATTTTTCCTATTTTCACTTTTTTTTTTCATCCCAAGTGAATATTAGTTGTTCAGATTTGAAAAGTTCGGAATTTTAGAATCTGGGTATACTTACTTTTTCATCCTATGATGATCTGGTATTTACACTGATTGCAATGCTGGGAGTCACTTCGAAATGTGTGAAATCATTATTTCAGTTTATATTTGGGAATGTCATGTGCTTAAATTTGGGATCTGTGAGAACTTTTTGTTTGTTCATGAATAATTTTTTTCCGGCACCTTGTTTATTTGGACTTGCGGATGAACTGGTTTTGCTAGATTTAGAATGTTGTTAGTGGTCTTAAGGTCTTATTTGCTCTGCATCAGGTATGAATAAGATGGTTATAAATCATTTGGACAAGCTTTTTGTCACGAATGATGCTGCTACAATTGTAAACGAACTTGAAGTTCAGCATCCTGCTGCCAAAATTTTGGTTTTGGCTGGGAAGGCTCAACAAGAGGAAATTGGGGATGGAGCAAATTTAACTATTTCATTTGCTGGTGAGCTCCTGCAGAGCGCCGAGGAACTTATCAGGATGGGTCTGCACCCGAGTGAGATCATCAGTGGATATACTAAAGCAATCAATAAGGTTTTTCAGTTCTCTGATGAGAGCCCTAGTGATTTATGTTTAAATGTCCTACTCAGTCACTCACTCACTCTTTTTCATATTTCAGACTGTTGAAATATTGGATGAACTGGTTGAGAAAGGTTCAGAGAATATGGATGTCCGTGATAAGAAGCAAGTTATTTCTCGAATGAAAGCAGCTGTTGCCAGCAAGCAATTCGGTCAAGAAGATACCATATGCTCACTTGTTGCTGATGTGAGTATATCCTGATTATGCCCATTTTAATGTGACAAAATGCTATGGTAGCACGGCACTGAACATTCTGACTTTTGTTTGGAAAATATAGGCATGCATCCAAGTGTGTCCAAAAAACCCTGCAAACTTTAATGTGGACAATGTTCGTGTTGCAAAGCTCTTGGGAGGGGGTTTGCATAACAGCACAGTTGTTCGGGGAATGGTTTTGAAAAATGATGCTGTTGGGACTATAAAGCGAACAGAAAAGGCAAAGGTTAGCTTTCTGTACATTTTGGAATTTTTTTGGGTTGTATTGGAGAGTCTACTATATAATTTATTTGTTAAGATTCTTAACAACTTTGTCATTTTTCTACTTTTTTATGCTAGATGATTTCAAGCTATATGATCTTAGGATTGCTTGTGCAGTGTGCTCTTCATCAGTTGATTATTTTGATATTTTGATTAATGTGAAGGCCTTACTTATAGTTTTGGTTGGACTGCTTTTTGAGTAATATGAATGCATTACTTTTAGCTTTATCCTATCTTATTTACCTTCCACATATTCTCCCGACTAAGAATTGATGATTATTTACAAATAATAAAAGGACACAACAACAAAAAACTAACATAATGAGCCAAGTTTAGAAGATGGAATAACCAATATAACATAAGGTAAAAAGTCATTTATTGAGTTTTTGCTTCATTAAAAAAAAAAAAAATCACTCCCCGTTAAACCCGACTAGCGAGTGTGGGATGGAGGAAATCCTTGTATGTAGCCTTACTCTTAAAAAAAATAATCAGAATCAAGATTGTATATGTAATGCCATTTTTTAAAATTAATGGGTGAAATTGTGGATGTTGTATTATTGAGTTTGTTATGGTTTGTGATTTTGTCCAAAATTATAGGAGGGCTATGTAACATGAATTTCTAGAAGCATTTGTTTTTTTAGTCTTGTTCTAGGTCCCGAGGAAGAAATTGCTATCAGCATATAACTAACATTATTTCTTTTATCTTGTGTCCCTTTTGATTCATTAGAGGCTTTAATTTGTTTATTTTTGAAGGGTACAAAGTAACTGTGCAAAGAAGTATAATACAAAAAGTAAGGATAGCAGGATTTTGAGATGTATTTAATTGCTTTTTATGTACTATTTCTACTGAATTAGTGTTGTGTCATGCATGTTAACATTCTGTAGTTCAACCGTGAAGCTCAACTATTTTAGAAGAAGAGTTATTTGTCTCTTTCACTTTTTGTTGAATTTTATATTTTCCTATCATCATGGAGCAAGATCTGTTTCTATTTTTAGTTAATTTGATAAGAATTCGATATGTCAATTTTTTCCCTTTCTCCCAATGAAAAGATATTGGCAAATCTTGATACCGTCTAGTACTGAGGTCTTTTGTCAATGTTGTTTAAGGTTGCTGTGTTTGTTGGTGGTGTTGATACATCTGCAACTGAAACTAAAGGAACTGTCCTCATACATACAGCTGAGCAGGTATACCAAAATGACTATAGTTTTGATTACCATCTCTTCTCATTTCTGTTTTATAATAAATGTAATATTTATTCATTGTGTGAGTGCTGAGGCCTATTGATTTGTGTCTGGTGGTTTAAGTTGGAGGTCCATCCCACTCTTCCAAATAAAGAAGGTTGAAAAGGGATTTTGTGGTAGGGTACCATGGCTATTTACTTATGCTGATGATCCCAAACTCTTTTTTCATCTTTTCTTTTTACAAAGCTTAATCCCACCAAAATTTGGGAATGGTTTAATATAGTATTGTTTTTGGTTGTGTCCTTGTTGTCTTTGTGGATTTTAGCTGGTGACTTTGTTGCTGAAGTTGTTTATTCATTTTAGCATTTGATATTTTATGCACGGACATGCTTTATTGTTTCTACATATTCTTCTAATTGTTAAATTATGTGAAAGTCTAAAAGGTCTGTAATGATTTGGTCAATAGGTAATTCAAGTTGGTAAATAACTCAGGATGCTGAGAATTTTCAGCTTTATGACATAATCGGCTTTTTATTTGCGAAAACAAAACTATAATTATGTTGAGTGCAATATTCTTCTTTTATGTGTATACAACTTCATTTAGATTCTTCAGCTTCGGGGAAGGTTTGCCACTTTGCTGTAGGTCTGACAGCATGGACTGTTTTATTTCTTCTTTAATGCATACTACATGGGGTTTCTCAAATTGTGCCTTTATTTGTGCCTTCATCTATTTCTGCTGTGCTGAACTTTTCTGAAGTGATTTATTGCTGTAAATTTGTTGCTAGAGCTTTTGTTTGGTACTATTTTAAACGTTTAAATTTAACTTGTAACAAACTAAAGCAATAACTTATGACTTGTCTCTTCAATTTTGAACTGTTTCGTGCTGGGTAAGGCAATGACTTTATCCATTATTTGATGCTGTACTACTGGAGCTTTTTAAGATTTGTTGGACCAACATTTTCCTTTATAGTTTACAAAAAAACCTATATTTTTTATTTTTTTTTGTGGTTTTGCTAATTGGATATATTCTCTTCATTTTGATTTATATAGCTAGAAAATTATTCAAAATCTGAAGAAGCTAAAGTGGAGGAGCTCATTAAGGCAGTAGCAGATTCTGGTGCCAAAGTTATTGTCAGTGGAGCAGCAGTAGGAGAGATGGCTTTGCATTTTTGTGAGCGTTACAAGTGCGTGAAGTCTTATATCTTCTTTTTTCGTTTCAATTGTCTCATGCTATTATACATTAAAGAATTAATATTAACATTTTCAGTTTATCTATCTATTTGAAGTCATGGTATGAGTCTTGATTACTTTTTGCCTTCAAAATCATGCTTGTAGGCTTATGGTTCTGAAAATCAGTTCAAAGTTTGAACTGCGTCGATTTTGCCGGACAGCTGGTGCTGTTGCTCTGGTGTGTGTTTTACTTCTTTGGTTACATATAGAAGCTGTCTACCTTCTGTCTAACCCATTTTGTTTTCCTACAACAGCTGAAACTCAGCCAACCAAACCCAGATGATCTTGGATATGTTGATTCTATATCAGTTGAAGAAATTGGCGGTGTCAGGGTACGTTAAAGGGATTGTTTGGGTTCTGTCATTTTCTTGGTTCCTTGTTTCTTTTTCTTTTTCTCATTTATTCACTTGGCATATGACTTGCCCTCTTTATATATATATATATATATATATATATATATATATATACTTGGATATGTTGATTCTATATCAGTTGAAGAAATTGGCGGTGTCAGGGTACGTTAAAGGGATTGTTTGGGTTCTGTCATTTTCTTGGTTCCTTGTTTCTTTTTCTTTTTCTCATTTATTCACTTGGCATATGACTTGCCCTCTTTATATATATATATATATATATATAATGATATGATATGCAGGTGACCATTGTGAAAAATGAAGAAGGTGGAAATTCTGTGTCCACTGTTGTTTTACGAGGAAGTACCGATAGTATATTAGATGATCTTGAAAGAGCAGTTGATGATGGAGTAAACACTTACAAGGTAATTTCAAATTTTGCGTACTTCATAACAAGTTGATTATTATCCCCCTCCATCCCAAATCAATCCTGTAAAAACAGGGCCTGTGCAAACATACGGATTGTTATCAAATCTGTTTGGTTTACACTTTTGAAGTATTTTAGATTTAAAAATTGTTGTACCTAATAGTAATTTTGAATGCTTCTTAGTCTTTTTCTGTGCAATTATTTTTCAGGCCATGTGCAGGGATAGCCGTATTGTACCTGGAGCTGCAGCTACTGAAATTGAGTTAGCTAAAAGGGTGAAAGACTTTTCTTTCAAGGAGACAGGGTACTTTGTATTTCCCTTAAGTTTTCACCATAAAAAGCACGTGTTTGTATTTTGTATATATATATGGAGCAAGATCAACTTACACCGGTGTAAGAATATTAAATCTTTCACCAAATCTTAACCGTTGATTTCCGTATATCTAACGGAAATAATTTATTGAGAATTCATAATTAATTAATGAGTGTGACCCAGTAAATTATAATCATTAGATGCACGGAAATTATCGGTTATGATTTGATGTAAGACTTATTATTCTTACATCTTAATAAGTTAATCCTATCCCTATATACATATTATATATATATATATATATAAATATATATATATATATATAGAGAGAGAGAGAGAGAGAGGGGGGGAGGGAGGGGGGAGCATATCAGTTGAGGGTGTGAGAGGTGAAAGGATCTAATCTTGATTATCTATTGTAAGATTAAATGGTCTAGATTAGCTCTTCTCATGCACTCACTTGATATGCCCAGCATTATATTTTACTGACTATTACTTTGGAAATAGGAACTACGTCTCTATGCTGCAGGACTTTATTTTGTTTGTTTAATGCTTATTTGGTAACTGATACATGAATGGGATGGACTAAACTTTTGCAATGGCTCTGCAGATTGGATCAATATGCTATTGCAAAATTTGCTGAAAGTTTTGAAATGATTCCTAGAACTTTGGCTGAGAATGCTGGACTAAATGCAATGGAGATCATCTCTTCTTTATATGCAGAACATGCATCTGGAAATACCAAAGTTGGCATTGATTTGGAAGAAGGCGTTTGTAAGGATGTCTCAACCACGAGTGTTTGGGATCTCCATGTGACTAAGTAAGCTTACTTTCTAACACATGCATGTTTTATGTGGTGGAAAACCCTTAGTTTGAGCAAATAATGAACTGGCTTTTCATTACTGGTAGTTTAATTTTCTCTGAATAGCTTTGTCGTATAAAAATTTAAAAATCAGTTATTGGGGGCTCTTATGATTGATGGAGCTTTCTGTCAACTACTTAGATTTGAAATAATTCAATGTTGAATTAGAATTTACCTCATATCATGTGGAAGACTAGTTTCATCATTTTGTTTTTTCTGCTCAGGTTCTTTGCTCTGAAATATGCTGCAGATGCTGTATGCACCGTACTAAGGGTGGACCAGGTAATCAACTATAAGTAAATAGTAGTCAATTGTTCCCTGTCAATTTTAGATTGCCACTTTAATAAGTACCGTGAGAACATTTTTTTTTGGGTAAACAAGCTCAGGAAAACAATATTTTGATGGTTAATAAATATATTTATGATTGAATGAGCAACTCTAAATTGTGGGCTAGTAGTGTTGATGATGTGTATTTCTTTTTCTATCTAGTTGTTTCAATTTTTTTTTTTCTTTGGAGGGGAAGGGAGGAAAGCAAATTAGGAAAATTGGAACCTGTAGTATAGAATAATTCTAATAATAATATGCTGCTTACGTTTTTGGATACATGAGGGAGGACTAGAACACACACCACCTAACACAATTACCCACACCCGTCACCACTAGGCTAACCCTAGTGGTTTTATACTGCTTACGTTTAACTGCAAGTAAATTGTAGAATATGGATACATGATGTATGCCCTATGGTGACATGAGAGCTAATAATTAAGATTTGGAGTAATTGTGGGTTTGGCACGTAAAGTGCTTGAGTGATCTTGGTTTCTTTAAAATGTAGACATATAGGTTTGGAAACAAGGACGCTTGAGTCAGCTATGGGAAATTCTTGCATGCAAATAACGTTAGTTAAATATATGCAATGGATCAATAGGAAATAGGAATAAACAGTTAGTGTGGCAAAAGCCGTTTGGATCGTAGGTTCCAAAGTTGAAAATATTATATCAACTGTTAATCTCCAATGAAAAAATTGCATTACATAGAATCACACCATACTTTTCCTTGCAATATGCATGTAGGTAGGTTCTGATGTTCATTTCAATAAAATTAAGTGCTACCAGCTGCTCCACTATTTAATCTAATGAGATTTCTTGGGTATTAGAAATATTGAAGCGTCGGGTGACTTTTTATTTCCATAGTGAATTTTGATACAATAGTAAAAGAATTTTACACTACCAGAAAACTAGTGTTTCATGTTTAAAAAGTAGTTAAAATTTGTACTAAAAAAATTTAAAGAAAGTGAAATGTTGTAGTTTTTTTTTTTTTTTTTGTGTAATCTTGAAATGTTGTAGTTACTTCAATGATGTGACACTTGTTACTAAATGCAATTGATTAGGGAATAAACTGGGGTATGGTTTTTGACAATTGCATATTCAGCTTATGTGAAATTGGATGCAAAATTTTCATACATTTTTCTCAGCATAAATTTATGGAGATATTTTTTGATATTTTCAGATTATTATGGCAAAACCAGCTGGTGGCCCAAGGAGAGAGCAACCTGCTGCTGGCATGGATGAAGACTAAAATTGTTAGAATTGATTGTTGCTTTGGTCATGTTTGTATCCCAACACGAAGTCTTGAACTTGGGCAACTTTGGCCTTAGGCGTGTTGGTATCTTAACAAATTTTGAATTTTGATTTTCTATGGAATACAAAGAGATTTGGTCTGTAAATTTAATTTAATTTTAGTCCTCTTATTATGAGTGGTGGTTTTCATTTGATGAGCATTATTGCCCTGGATTTATTTACTTCACTACTACCTTTTGTGTGTGTTTTTGGTGCCAAGTGATGAAAGCACTACTCTCAGGGAGAAAACCGATTAAATATACAATAAAGAACGAGAATGAATGTTGCATATTTTCGTCACTCACATTTCTATGTTCTAACTAATAATAATGTGGTTGTCCACGTCACTCGTCAATAGCTTTAGAACCAATGCATGTAAAATCCATTTTTTGTCTTTTGTTTTAACGGTTTAAAGAATATATACACTTCACAATCACGTACTGGACTATAATAAAATACATTTTATCATAGTAATAGTATGTTAGCTGCAAATTGAATTAAGATGCCGTTAAGCTTTGAAAATTGAAAAATTTCCCTAGGAATGGAGTAAATTATGATCATAATGTTAAGTTTAAACTTTGAATAATGTTTCTTGAAATAGAGGATCAGATTTCCTTTTCCACAAAATAATTGCGTCAGATGACAGGAAAAAGTAAGTTATTGATGATTATAGTTAAAATCATTGAGGGTTAACTCTCAACTAAGTTTAATAGCAGAGGAAAAATACCTATAGATTGAATGTTGTACCAGTCACAATATATTGCTAAAGGAAAAAAAAAAAAAAAAAGTGTTTAAGAAAGAGACAAAAGCTCCAAAAATATCTTGAAATATCTGAGATACTCATTTGCAATAACAAAAGCACGATATGTCTCACCTTATCCACTTATAGACCAATTTCTAGCCAAGTCAACAAGATGAAGAAAATCCTCTTTTACTCTAGAGAGTCTAGAGTAAGACCTCATTTGGTATGAAGCATGACCATGGCTTTAAGTTCACTTTTTTGCTCCATTCGTTCCATTCCCACATCCATGACCATGACTTTAACTTCTGCTGGAAACATACCTTCTTCACACACTTGTTTACCTTGTACTGCTAGTTTTATTAGACACAACCAATGCAAGAGAGAGTTTCCACTCCCAGCTGTGGCTTCAGTACCTTACCAACCTATCAACTTTGATTACTTGGAAGAAGAATTCAGTGGACGTGGAGTCACCTTTGAAGGGGTTGGCAATAGTTGCATTGCCAAGATGGAATTGAAAAATGGAAGCATTGCAACCATGTTGCTGCCAAGTGGATTGATCACCTCCTATAAGGCCCCAATGTGGCATGGTGGTAAGGTGGAATTGCTCCATACTACAGTGTCAGAGGGAGAATATGGTGATGCCATCATTCAAGGAGGGGTGTCTTTAAACTTCAATTTTCAAACTGATGATGGTGAAGTTTCATGGTCTCCAACTAATTGGATTCTGCATGATATTAAAGGAGATGCTGAGGAATCCATTCAGGTCTGTTATCCTGTGTGTAATTTAGTAGGGTGTATTATAAAAAGAAACTTAAATTATTTTATCTCCTCATTGCTTGTTTTTTTTTCGACTTCTTTTGACAAGGAAGTGTATCAAATTCTCTTGGATATCATAGGAACTTCTCTTTAGGGTGAGTCTAGAGCAATAGCATGGGTTCAAACTTCAAAGTTATGAAATAGCCTATTGCCAAAAAAGCAAGGATAAGATAATTTTCTTCACCCTTACCCTCACAAGTGGGGGTTTCATGGAAGTGGAGTGATTTATTTTTAAAGGAAATTCTCTTTAGAGTATTATTACACTAGCTAGTGCTAGGCAAATGATTATGGAACTGTCATGTTCCCTATTAATATTCAGACATGCCTGAATGAACTACAGGCAGAACTCCCAGCAAATAAGGAGAAGATATTCAGAAGAAAGAGCCAAAGGAGTTTGTTAATGCTTCATAGTCAATCTGCCATACATGCTAATAGATACTTCATTTACTTAGAATTTCAGTTTTTATCATCTATCCTCAGACATGCCTTTTGTTTTTGGTAGAGCATATATGTTAGTATAGGTACTTATTTATTATGTATATTATTGGCTTACTGTTGCCTCAATTTTTTTTTAATGCTAGTAATCTACTTAGATACCTTGAAGATATCTCATGCAGGTAGAATTAATAAACAGAACATCAGAGGACAAGATTGGATTAAAATACATTGTGACTTTGGAAGAAGATGTCTTAAGCACAGGGCTTGAAATCTCAAACTCAAACTCTTTGCCCCTTCGGATGACAGGGTCCATCCTGAGTCATCTGACAGTAAGCTCACCAGATGCAACTTATGCAATAGGATTAGAAAGATCAAATTACTATAGAAAGCCCCCTTTTGAATCAGAATTTATTTTGAGTCCTCCTGATTCAAAGAAGGAAGAAGGTTTTGGAAAAATATGGAATTCTTTTTTTCCTCTCCGGGGCACAAAAAATCAGAACAATGAAGCAGAAGGAAGCCAAAAAGGTATTGAAGATATGACTGGAGAAGAAATGGACGGCTACAAGAATTTAAAAAAGAAAATGAGTCTCGTATACACAAACGCACCACGAAATATTACAGTGATTGACAGGGTATGTAATCATAACTCTCAATAATACTCTCATGCTATTCTTTCATGTTTTGAGAGAAAAACTAAAAAACAAGAGAGAATAACATGAAAAGATCCAAATCCCTCTCAATTGGTAGAGTGAGCAATGATACTTGCACAAATATATACTCGCACACTCCCCACAGATTTCCTTTTATGCCATTTGATAACACCCTGCTAATATATACAAGGAATGATCTTTTGACTATAGAATAACATTTGATAACACCCTCTCAAGAAGTCCTATTCCCCATCTCAGCCGTTGATTTTCGTTCATCTAAACGTTATAATTTATTGAGTTATATCTATTAATTAATTATTAATTCCAAATAAATTACAACTGTCAGATGGACGAAAATCAACTGCTGAAATTGGGAGTAAAATTTCTTAATCTTACATGCAGTTAAAAGATCCTCTCTCTCTCTCTCTCTCTCTCTCTCTATATATATATATATATATATAGGGCTTATCATTTCTCAAGCTGCCGGAGATAATTTTATCTCCGGCTACTAAATCATAACCATACAAAGATGGATCAATCAACGGTGATAAAAGAAGAGAGAGAAAAAGAGAATCATAATCATTCAAAGGTGAATCAATTAATATAAGAAAATAAATAAACAAAACGACGTCGTTTTGAGATGGCCGGAGATAAACTTATCTCAAGTTGCCGGAGAAACGTTATATATATATATATATATATGTGTGTGTGTACTTACCTCATAATATATTGTAACATGATTCTCAATATTTCTACTGAGGGGTACTATTGCAGGATTTTACAATCCACTAGTTATCTCTTCCTCCTCCATCTCTATCTACCTTAATACCTTACCAGTCAGATAACATGTTCAACTTCAAAGTTTCTTTTCATCCACCACAGAAAACTTCAGGATTTCAATTGTAGCTCAGTATCTTAATTTTCTTGCTAAAATTTAGTACCCAGTTAGTATGACATTAAATTTAAGTTCACAGTTCACATGTATGTCATCTAATTTACAGGTTATATGGGTAAACTGTAATATATTTTCTTATCAATTCTTTACATGATCTCATGCAATAAATCCTGAATTATATCAGGGCAGAAGAAACTCGGTGATAGTTGGAAGGAATGGATTTGATGAAATGTACCTCTTCAGTCCAGGTTCAAGCAATGAAATTTACAGCAAGTATGATTACGTATGTGTTGGCCAAGCTGCTGTCCTCAAACCAATAGTAATAAGTCCTGAAGATGAGTGGAGAGGTGGCCATTTTATACACAATCCAAATCGATAATATGATGCTTAAGCTCATCTTTGCGATTTTCTTGAGCAAATTAATCTGATAGCACATTCAAAAATGCGCTTCATGAGTAACATTTAGGTTTGTACTTTTGAATTTTTATTTTTGGTGAGATGAATAAAGGATAAGAGTACAGGAAGTTGATGTATAAATAAAAGGGGCAAGTTGAAAAAAAAGCAATATCATTTTCCATTATGTCAAATGGCCTAATAAAATTGTTCCTTTCATGATGTTAAAGAATTGGAGCATGAATCGCCACAAGATAACTGGGGTGAAAATTATTTTGTAGACACTCTTTCATGATTTCATTACAATAACATTTATTTTTTCTAACTTGCCTTCATAAAAGGTTATAGAGCTTAATCCACAAAAAATAAAGTAACTAATAAACATAACCATCCAGTATAATAACCGAGAAACTAGATTTATCATAAGCACAATAATTCCTGCAAGTCAATTAAACAATGAGATATCACCTCTAATTACAAGATAAGATATTACATGAAAATCAAAATAAATATAATGATCATCTATCATAAATTTGACTGAACATAATGAAATGATCCGTTCCAATTCCAAATGCAGCATTCATGTTTCTACTCCACCAGAAGGTAGAATTCAACCAAAAGTTCTTAAAGACTCTTTACAAGAAAAACAAAAGTACATTGAACATGCTGAATTTAACTGATCTTTTACTTCTACACTGAACTTCCCAACATTTAGTTGGAATTAACTAATAACTTCACAAAACCACACCGATAATTCTCTTAATTCTCAGATTGTAAACTAGAATGAGCACATTATGTAGGGACAAGATAATGGCCTTCTTCTTGACTGTTGATCCAGAGTAATGGAGTAGCCATTGCAAGAAGAAGAAAAGAAAGGCCACAAACCAATCTACGTTTAGTCTTCTGAAGTGGCTTTTCCATGTGAACAGTTTGAGTATCATTTTTATTTTCAGGATCATGAGGCACCTGCATATCAGCATCACCAGGAACGTCATCTGTTGATGAGACTGACTCAGTTCCATCTTGGAATTGTGCATTGCCACATAAGCTTTCATTCTCTTTACAATCATAGTTGACATGATCTGCAGTACCATTCTGGTCATATTTAGAATAAGATGCTGGGCTCCACTCATTATTTCCTGATGATAGACTCCTGAAATTTATATTCTGTTTCTCATAGCAATCTGAAGTCTCATCATTTGGGTCTTGAAGAGAGTGAATGAGCTTCCTTGGGGTCTTAAAGATTTTAATGCTGTCAACATTAACCTGAGAGCGTGATCTCTGAACACAAGAGAGAAGACATAACATTTAACTCAACAAGAACTTGTGATTTTAATCACAATCATGGCAGCTTAGCAAATCATTGAAGTTTCAATTAACAAAAGATTATGTGGCGATGCTCAATTTCAAGATGGAACTGATTTATGCGCAAGTCGCACATAGCACTCTTTAACCAACAGAGCGCAAAAATCTTATGCTTAGTAAATGTAGGGTATAAATAAATTGTGAGCAAATGAATAAGTAAATAATGATCAAAAGTATCTTGTTTCTGCTTCCTGTTTCCTGTTCTTTTTTTCACCTTAAACTAACACCATTATTGTTATAATTATTTCAAGAATTAATGGCTAGAGATGAATATTCATTATCAAACTTTTTTTTCATTAAGCATACTTCAAAAGTATTGCTAATTAAGATATGTAAAAGGAGTTAAAGAGAAAAAGAATAACAAAGTAGAATAATAATAAAACAGCAAGTATATACAACAATAACTACACGTAAACAATTCACTAATAGGAAACATAAATAAAAGCAAAGTAAAAACCAGAAACATGCAACTAGTGGAAAACTACTGATGTGACAGAGAAGTGCAGTACAGAAGGTAAGGTGGATTTGGAAATGGAAGAAAAAGCTCCATACTCCATAATCCTATTGGTAATAGGGTATGCAATGCGACATGTAACCATTTCATGTTAATAGTGGAGGGTAACGAACAACTTTGGAAATAGATATTTGTAAATTTTAAATTGTGAAGTGATGACTGTAAAGGTGTCCCTAGGGCATTTGGTACAGGAGAAATTTTTATTTGTCCGGGAATCTCGATTTTCAAAAATATGATTTTTACATTCAGTTTACGATAATATCTGAAAATTTAAAATTTAAAAAAATTCAGTTTCCGGGAATCCGGGAAAAATCCGTGTAAAGCATATGCAATTTTGTGACCAGAATTTTAATAGAATATGACAAATATCTGAGAAACTTACTAGGGGACTTGAGTTGTTACTTCTAGTCCTAGATACTCCATGCCAAGGATTTTTGAGCATGAAACCAGAAAATTCCTCTGTTAAATCTTCCCCTCCATTAGAAAACTCGAGATCCAGAGTGTTGTCAAACAAGGCATTTCCCTGCCCAGCCTTTGAGAACAAACCATCCTTGAGAGACACATCAACCCCTCCATTTTCATGACTCCAAAGCTTCCTATTCACACTCCTTTGGTCATAGTTCGAGTTCTGAGATGCCTGAATTGTTGAAATGGGAGATTCAACAAGGGATTCATATCCAGGGAAACAGTCCAAGGTACGTGATTCTGGTGAAATAGATGCAGGAGAATGGTCTCCATCACCAGAAAAACTTTCTCCATCTATATAGTCTCTTTTACTAAAGTTCGACCCCGTCACTGAAGCAGGACTCTTTACACCCCTTGATTTTTTGTCAATGGCAATTCTCTTAGCAGTTTGCAAAGCTTCAAATGCAGCACCTTTGACATATGCCATTTTATCAGACTGTGACAGCTCCATCACCTCAATTATCTGTTCAACCTCTGAGAAAATGCTTCTAGGATCTAAACATTTCATCAAGAAGTTCACCATTTGAATGGCTGCAAATCTCTTCTGAGAATTCCCCTCCAAAAGCTCACCACCAGCACTCAGTATTCTCAATCCGGATTGTATGAGCAATCTTGCATAGGCTTCAACAATCAAAGCATTGCGCTTTGCTAAGGCCATAACTAGACCCATGTGTGAGTTGGTCTGAGTAGACTTTCCCTCCAATGCCACAGAAACATTCTGGCAAACCCTGTTGACCATTTCATCTGAAGCAAACCTCCAGTTATCTGAATCCACAAGAGCCTTCAAGCAAAGGGCCGCACCACAAGACAAACTCTCTTGAGAACTTGTGAGAGAATCAGAAAGAGTCTTACAAAGAGAATGAATTATATGCCTCTTTTTCTCTGCTGGGGCTGTGGGGTCAATTCCATACCTTGCAATAGCTGGAACCACCTTTGAGCAAGCCTGTTGAAGAGGGAAAGACCCTGCACTTGAAGCTAAGGTCTGAACTATGGATTGCATAATGCTGTCTATCATGGGAACAATCTTGACTCCATGAACCCGAGCAAGAACCTCATACAGTGAAATTGTGAATTCTCCAGACAAAGAACCGGTTTCCTTGGTCTCAGAAACTTGTGCAAGAAAGATAGGAATTGTCTTAAAGTCCAAATCTTTCACATATGACTTCAATGCTCTCATTGCAGATTTGCGACTATCTGCATCTTTGTCAAGATTTTCCAGCTCTCGCCTTAGCACTGGACTCAGACTTCTTCCCATTGACGAACTAAGACCAAAACATTCAGCCATAAGTAATAATAACAAAGCCAAATACAAAGCCCCATGTGCAATGCAAACATATAGAAAGATAAAGATTCACTATGGACATTCTATTCCAGAAATTCACCCCTCATTTACTTATTCAACAATTTCAATTAAAGTTCAAATCTTTACTAAACAAAAGTGCAGAAATGACTAATCTTGCAAATGGGGTGGTTGCAAAACTCACAATTGAATAGCTCCCTTTATGATCTTGAATTGGGGCATTCATAAGAATGGTAGATAGTACAAAATGGGTTTAACAAATAAACAAAAAACAAAGAAGAAAGCATAAGAAAAAGTGCATTCATTTTCTAATTATCAATCAAAAAGAACAGAACAAAAAAAAACTTATAATTCAATCAAGAAAAAAAAAAAAGGAACCTTTATATGAAGATCTTGAAGTTGTGTTATGCAGTTGTGGGTAGAAGATAGTTAGCAATGAGCAAGAACAAGAGGAAGGAGAGAGAATTGGTGAGGTGAGAAGAAAGAGAGAAACAATGTGTGAAAGTGTTCCAGTATTATGATTTTGGCTTTTCAAATTTTTAGCATGTTTTTAGGGTTTGTGTATGTGACAGAAAATGTTTTTCCATATCTGACAATATAGTGTTTGGACTGTATCTTTATTCTGAAGTGAATCAATTGTAATTCAAATCAATTGAATCTCTTTCATTTTGAAATAATAACTCTTTTGTCCAAATTCCACCGCTATCCTTTCGATGGTGGGCCCTACCAGAATTTCAGAAATAAATATCCCTTCTTGGACGAAAATGCCCTCTAACATTTCCCATCAATTATTTTTTCCTTTTCATTGGATATTAACAAGGCGTTTGGTATGCGGATTATGTTTGCTTACCTTGGAAAGTAACTTTGCTCAAAGGAAAATGTCATGTTTGGTAACAAAAAAATAGCTTGTTTCCCGGGTACCAAGTTATCCCAGTTTTTTACTTTTATGTGTTAATGCATGTTCAACAAGCAACAAATGATGCCCATTGATAACATGAGATACATTATTAGTCAGGGATGTGAAAAGAGTGTCAGTGTGAAGTGGACCTGTAACACCCTAAATTTCTAACAATTTATAAAACAATCTTATAATAAATAAATTGTCAAAATTCTTTTTTTTTTTATTTCTTACAATTATAATAATAGAAATATTGCGGAAGCTAATCTAAATCTAATTTGGGGAATGTTACCGCCGCACCTGTACAATAGACAGGTGCAAGGCTAAATTTATTACATTAAAATAAAACCAAAGACTAAAGTTTAAATAAGGAAATATGTCTTATGCATTTATTTAAATCTCATAAATTTCTAAACTTAGAAACTAACTAGAAATATCCGAGTTGTGATCCTCACTGTCCACAGCTAGCCATATTCTTTGCAACATGCTTCACTGAAAATCTGCTCTTCCGCAGCCACAGGATCATTGCAGTCAAACAAACACAAAAGTCAGCAAAGCTGGTAATCCCAATCAAAATACAATTAATGTAATTAATAACAAATTAAATCAAATATCAAATAGTGTTCAAATCAATTCCACATTAATCAAATCAAATATCAATATAATAATCAAAATTCCATTATATAATATTTATCTTTATTAAGTTCATTTAATGTATTTGACAATTATCAACTAACATATTTAGCATAATAATAATCATAATATGATAATATTCACAACTCAATGACATTCTTCATAATCAAATCAAATAACAAATTTCATTATTAATAATATTTAAGTTCATTATATTTAGTGTTAAGAGAACCATGGTAGACCCGGGAAACCCTGCCAGTCTACCCTGTGACCCGGGAAACCCTGCCAGTCACAAACAAATCACATTGGCCATAATCAATTCACATCTTCCTAGTGTGTACACCTCTTCCCAAAGTTGCTACTAGTATCCCGGGGAACCCTGCCAGACACCACTTTGAGAAGAACGGATACAATCTTTTTCACATCAGTTTCACATCGGAGGCATAAAGCCCAAAAGTTGTGTTCATCACCTTGGGAGGTACCATCCCAAAGCTATCTTCTCACCATTAATTTATTACAAACACACAAAATCAGGAAAGATTCAATCATAATTATTTATTCTTTAAGTATTATCATCTCTAAATGAGTTACTCAAGGGCATTATAATTTTCCAAAGTATCATAATTCAAACAACTATTATCATAAATTTTTGAATTTATATAACAATTCAAATCTTCAACATTCATCATAGTAAAATCCAAATCCGATCATCATCATAACTTTCCAATTTATTCAAGGATATGATAATTCAAATCTTCAACATTCATAACAGTAAAATCCAAATCCGATCCTCATCATAACTTTCCAATTTATTCAAGGATATAATAATTCAAATCTTCAACATTCATCATAGAAAAATTCAAATCCAATCATCGTCATTCAAATAATCCCATCACATCATTTATCATAGTTATAAATATTCAAATTACATATAAAGATTATGCCCAAATTTCATATAATAGAGATAACCTAAACACCTAGGGATTAGGATTACATCCAAGTTTTATATAAAAGAAATAACCTACGAATAGGATTACATATACCAAAATTCATATCAATATAATCTATGACTCTCTAGGGATTAGGATTACTATTAATAAACTTCAAACAAAATGATAACCTAAGGATTGGGATTACACATATCAAACATATAACTACCAAAGATTAGGATACACACAATAAAATTTCATACACAACGAATCTACAACCACCTAGAGATTAGGATTACCTGGTCTCCGTGTTTGGTGACTTCTACAACTTGGGAAAGAGAAGAAGTTGGTAACCAAAGAAAGATAATAATAAAAATAAAAATTTAAAGTGAGGAGAGAGAAAAAGAGAGTGTAGAGGAGAAGAAGAGTGGTGGAGAATTATTGAGGATTCAGAGTGATTTGGTTTGGTCAGGTTAGGCCCCTCTATTTATAGTTGAAGTTTTGGATTCAGATATGGGTTTCGTGCATTTATTTCTTTATTCCTCATTGATGTATTTGGCTCAGATTTTGGCTTTATACATTATTTTTTTTTTATTCTTAATTTCTTAGAATATAACTAACTTATTTGCTAACTCATGATTGACTCATCATATCTAAACAATTTATATTTGTTGACTCATCATATCTAAACAATTTATCAATCAAACATTAATAAATAAATCATCAATCAATTAATAAATCAAATAATCATAATTATCGCACAAAATAATAATTTTATCAAAGGTAAAATTAATATTACATTTTGTTATCTATCACCATAATATATATATATATATATATATATATATATTAATAGTACTAATTTATAGTTTATTATTATTATTATATTATTATTATTATTATTATTTTATTAATAAAAATATGGGTATTACAGGACCAAAATAACCTTGTTTGTTGTACTAACTTTGAATGAAAAAGTAAAATTGGGGTTATTTTTGTAAAATAACTCCACATTCTAACTACTATTTCACAATCAACCAAACATCAGCTCAGTAAACTAACTCAAATATTCCCGGCACAAATTTTGGTTAACCAAACACATTTTTAAACTTATCCGGAAAAAAAAAATATTGCCAACCACATTACAGCAAAATTGTTTCCCTGGATAAAAAAAAAAATTCCTTGTACCAAACGCCCCCTAAGGATTTAATTCGGGAATGACTTTTTTTATGTAAGAGAATTATAATCATTTATTATCATATCAATGGCAATAAAAAATGGGAAAAATGTTTGTCATTTTAAATGACAGAAAGTTATGTCATTTTAAGAGAGATACAGACACAGAAAATTTGAATTTTAAATTAAAAAAAACCACTCACTTTCTCTCTCCCATGATTTCCGTTTTTCTGTGTCTATCTCTCTCCTTAAATGACATAACTTATGTCATTTAAAATCACAAACACCAAACCCATAAAGATAAGAGAATAAAATGTTAGCATAAAGAGTGAAAAAATTATCACCATTGATATGACTATAAATGGTTATGATCCTTTCATATGACATGATCGTATTAAAAAACACACGAGAGATCCATACTCATTTATTTAAGAGTTAAAAAATCACAACTTTTGTTATAAAAAAATTTGGATAGGATATTTTACCTACCATTTTTTCTGGCTACCTTTACCTACAACTCTAAAATATTATTATATTATTAGATCAGAATCTCAACTACTCTTTATCTTTCTCTCTCTTGAGATTCTGATCTAACAGTGTTGGAGAATAGTAGGCAGAAAAAAGGGATAAGTTATTCTGGCCACTCTTATTTTGCCTACCTCTCTCAACATCGTTAAATTACAATCTCATCCAACGGTGGAGATTTGCAGAATAAAATAATCCATTTTCCCCTTTTTTTCTCCCCAGTGCCTTCTCTCTCTTTCTCTTTTCCTTTAAGCTTTGTTTGAGAGTTTGGAGGGGAAGGAAAGGAGAGAGATTCAGGGGGTATGGAATGGAAGGGAAGGTAATTGAAGGATATTTCTTTCTCTTGCTTGGGAGTTAAAAAAATGGTAAGGGAGAAATTGGAGGGTCAATGAGATATTTTTACACGTTTACCCTTTTTTAAATTAATATCATTACTATATTTTACAAATTAAAATATATTTTTCCATCAAAATACTTTTCATCGAAAGGCGACGAAATTTATATTCGATGAAAATTTTTACAAAAATAAATTTTCTGTCAAAATTTTCGACGGAAGACGAAAATGATTTGTTACATATTTTCGACGAAAAAAATTTCATCAAAAGTTTTAACGGAAAAAAGAATTCCTTAAAAAATTTTGACAGAATATTTTTCGTCCAAAATCTTTGAAGAAATGTGTCCCAATGAAAATTTCAACAGAAATATTTGTTTTTTTCAAAAAATTTGAGGGAATGTTTCTATGAAACTTTCGACAGAATTTAGATTCCGTAAAAAAAATTTGACGAAATTCTTTC